ATTTCAAGTGTCACAAAGCCTGGGGCATTCAAGATAGCACTAAACTGGGTTTAGTTAATTCCATGGCAGGAAACAGTGGCCTTCATCCATCACTTCTGTGCACCTACTGCCAGGGAAGCTGCAGCAACAGATCATGTATGTCACAGGTTTAGAGTGGTTGGAATGGGCAAATAGAATTAACTAGTTGATTAATCAGTGTCATGTTCATACTTCCATGATAAAACGAAGCAATTGTTGATTTTCAGCAAAACCATCTGGTCTTTATTAAAGCTATTTAATAAATGTTTTTGGATTTTGTGTGTGTGTTTGATTTTTATTTCTCGAGACCCAGGCTTAGTCCATACTTTTAAAACTTGGCGCCCATAATCAATACACAAATTTTTCCCAGCAACAGTTTTCTGCTCTTTAACATAGAAGCAACAGAGGATCCTGCTTCATGCCTCAGCAAGTTGTCCTCCCTTGCTATGGAAAGGACAGTATGTTCTAAGGAGTGATTCAGGGTCAGGCCTATGAAATGGAGGACAAAGTCGATGAAAACAAGAAGACTCAGAAGTATCTGAACAACTACTCTTACACCCATATCTCTGCCAGGATCATCATCTTGAGATGGAGACCCCTTTTCATCTACATGTGGAAATGCTTAAAAGGAGCCTCCCAGAGAACAGAAGACAAGCTGCTGTAGGGGAATAGAGAGTAGACATAGCAACTTTATTTTTTAATTACAATTTTTATTGAGATAATTAATCCAACAAACTAATGCAGAGAGATCCTGTGCATCTTTCCCAGTTTACCTCATGATAATATCTTGCAAAAACGATAGCATACTATTATAACCAGGATATTGACATTGATACAATCTACTGACCCTATTCAGATTTCCCCAGTTTTACTTACACTCATTTCTCTCTGTGTGTGTATTTAGTTCTGTAAGCTGTATCATGTGTGGGTTTGTATGTCCACCACCCTTGGTCAAGGTACAGAACATTTCCAACACCACAGGGGTCCTCGTGTTGCATCTTTTCTAACCACACCCACTTCTCTCCTGCAGCCCTCTTCCCTTCCCCATCCCCTGGCAACACAAATCTGTTACCCTTCTCTAAAATTTTGTCATTTGTGATAATGTCTTTTTATAAATACACAATTACACATACATTTATCTACAACAAATACTTTATCAAAGTGTTCTTTCATCCTTATATTTCTGCAAGGTAGCCAGAAGAGGCTTCCTTATTTCAGGCCAGTAAACAGAGTCAGAGATGTTAAGTGACTTAATGAAGGTCACATGTTTAGCAATACATCTAGATCTGAGAGCCGAGAATATTTAGTCCTAGACCTTTCTCCCTGAACAGACTGCCTCTTCATCTGCAAAGACTTAGTTGTTAGCATCCAGAGACACTAAAACAAGCAAAAATAGGAGAAGGTAAGGACATGATGACCTTAACCACCTGAAGCAAAAGATGAGTCTTGGGGTAACAGGGCCCATCAGCACTTCAGGCAATTTTCTTCTTAAATTGTCAGAGACCCCTTGCAGCCTAGGACACAATCGACTATGAACTGCTTTCTACTCTCAGATCCCCAGCTTCCTTTGTTCTGGCCTCAAAGGAACGGAGGAATGAATATCAGGGAGAAATTCTGACCTTGATTGCTTTGTCTTGCAGACAGAGTAGGTTCTGGCCTCAGCATTTTCATTAGTGCGGTGTTTTCATTACAATCTCCATTAACTTGTTTGCAGCAATGAGATGGAATCATCCCTCCTACCAGGCCTGCGGGGAGATGCTTGCAGAGGAGCTCCCATTCCTTTGGGCAATAAAGACACTATGATGTTCAGTTCAGTGGGCAGGTGAGGGAAGCCTCTAAATGTAGTAGGCCTAGGGCCTGCATGAAGGGGGTCTTACCCTTTGGCACTTTGTCCAGGAGGTAAGAGAACAGCTGCAGTTTGAGCTTTAATCCATGAGAAGGAGGTCCCAGGTAGGGACAAGACTTCCTTAACCTTAGGTCCTCATACCTATATCAGTTCTTTTCCAACAAAGTTTCACTTTGAGAAAAGGCTGGCACATGGCTGAAATGCACTCACGGGGTTTGGGGGGAAGACTGTTCTTCCAGTCCTCCTCCCCACAGGGCCTCCTGCTCTTCCTAAGTACCTGTCATCAAAAGAGATGAAGATGAACCCCCCTTCAGCCCCCACACCTCAATGAGTTGTCAAGTACTCTCCCTCCCACCTGAATAGGAAGCAGGAGCAGCAGGCCATGTTGCAGGCTGAGGAAGTCACAAGTTAACTTGAGCTGAGTTTGCAGCTCTGGAGAGATTGAGGAGCAGGCTTTTCTCTTGTCACTTTGGGAGGAGAAGATTGGGAGGCTGCCCCTTTAAATAGCATTCCTGTGGGAGGCAGATCACATCCATCCGTCACCAGTGCCAAAATGTCATTTTTGGTCTCTATCAAAGCCAAAGCTTGTTGGAAGGGATTGTGGGGTTAGGGGAGTGAGGAGGCATGGTCTCCAAGGGACAGGGACAGTTTGGAAGCTGAAATGGAGAGAACTGAGGTTGAGCAGAAAGAGCCTGGGAAAAGTGGGGACAGGGCACAGGAGGGAAAGACAGGGAGAAAAGAATAGAGTGGGTCTTTTGAGCCCATGAATGAAACATATATACCCTGTCCAGAGGGAGGGTAAGACAGAAATGGGAAACAAGAGGAATGATGTTGAGGGTAAACACCAAGACTGGTGACTAGAGAAAGAGAAAGAGCCATGGAGTGGAAAAGCACTAGAAAAAGTTGGGACACTTGGCCTAGGCTTTGCTGCTTACTCTTTGTGGGATCACATACTTATTCTAGCCTTAGTTTTCCCATGTGTTAAATGAAGGGGGTTAGGCTAGATGGAGTCTAAAGCTTCTTTTACAAATAACTTTTGGGAGTATGAAATTTTCTTTTCTTTTTTTTTTTTTTTTTGAGATTTTTAAATTTATTTATCTTTAGAAGGGAAGGGAAGGAGAGAGGGAGAGAAACATCAATGTATGGTTGCCTTTCATGCATCCCCTGCTGGGAACTAGCCTGCAGGGAACCGGCCTGCAACCCTGGTATGTGCCCTGACTGGGAATTGAACCGAGATTGTCTGGTTCGCAGGCCCGCGCTCAATCCACTGAGCTACACCAGCCAGGGCTTGAAATTTTCTTTTCTTAAAATGGGTTAGGAGATGGGGGCCTGGGAGAGCAGAGGCGGGATATACCACTGTGTCCACGTGAAATGTTGAGAGATTCCTCTGGAAGTACATCTCAACCTCTTCCCATTTCTTCTAGTTGAAATACCTGCATTATTTGAAAATCTCCTTAGCTCTAATCCTAATTTTCTAATTAGAGCTCTTTAGCTCTAATCCTATTTTGCAATTCTTTTGTAGTTTCCAGCCCATTCTTTTTCAATTGACAAGGAAGTCTGTTGCTCTCAAATTTTGAGAATTAGATTGGGTATGAGTCTGACTGGGGGCCTCAGGTGCAGCTCCGTTGTGTCTGGGACTGTTCCTGGCAAGGAGAGGACAGGGGTATGTAGGCTGAAGTTAGATGGGCAGAGAGGGGAAGTCCCAGTACTCTGATGTTTTCCTCCATCTCTGCCTCTGCCATCTCCTTCTGCCTTTGTACCTCTGGGAGCTGGTTCTCCCGATAATTCTCTATCCTGCCAGATCGGAAGGCCTGGCTTAACTTAATTACGTCAAAGGCAACTCTTTCATGTCAGGAGTCTTCACCCTGCCACTTCACATCTGTTCTTTTCCACTCCATTGCCTGGGAAGTGGGGAGCCTCCTTCCAACCTGCAGTGTCCTTAAACTTAAAACTCACTTTCTGGGATCCTGGATTAGTTAGTGAATACATCCCCACTTTCTGTTTGCATAGGATTTTCCCCAGTGCCAAAGCACTGATCATTAAAGAGAACAATTCTAAGGAATGCTGAGGTGGTTCCTGCCATAGTCCAAAGTAGGACTTAGTTTGATGGAAGAGGCTTTGTCCTGTTACGGGTCTTAAGTTCAAATTCCAGGTCATTTTACAAATATATTAAGCAGCTAGGCTGTTTTGTGCTGGGCCCTCAGCCACTAGATTTCTTTCACTGAAGACAGAATAAGAAGAAATAATCTGGAAAGGCTACAGGACGGGTTGAGATATTGGGAATGATTTCCCGGCTCTTAGGGAGTTGTATTAAATCGAAAGAAGTGGTGTTGCCTGCACTGGTGGAGTCTCTCTGGAAAGCTCTGAATTTGGGAGAAACTTCCACCCCCAGAAGGGAAGTTAGACACACCAGGGGAAAGGCCGCAGTGATGGGCACACGTCAGGAAGACCGGGCTAACGGAACTGGAACCGAAGAAAGGCATGGGATACCTTGGAAACTCGGAGCAGACCCCGAACTTTTCCCTTCAAAGGCAGGAGTGCAAGTGCGCAGTTCTGGTCTGCGGCTGGGTTCTCATGGTGGGGGGCTTCCCTGAGCCCAAGCGCCAAGGCCCCCAGGTGGAGAGGGGTGAACGCCTCCGGCTACCCGTCTCTCTCACACGGGACGCTAGGCACTTGCGAATATATGAAACCACTCGCACGTACAAAGAAACTTAGAACACACACCAACAGAACCCACGCAACACCCACACCGAAGTCCTGCCGCCGCCGCCGCCGCCTGCGCTGCACTTTGTAAACACGCACTCACATCCACCGCGCGGGGCAAGCACAGCGGCTCATCCCGGGAGCCCGGGTGCCTGTGCCGGCATTTGGGCGCTTCGGTCTGGGTGTGCCCCGGGCTTCCAATCGTTCCTCTGGGAGGGGGAGGAGTGGCAGCGAGGAGTGAGGGACGAGCCGGCAGGCGGAGGAGGAGGGAGGGGAGCAGAGGGAGGGGAACCGGCCCGAGGAGGAGGAGAGACAGGAGGCGGCTCTGGCAGCGCGCGGCGGCAGCGGCGGCGCGGAGAGCCCGGACTGGGAGCCCACAGCTCGGCTGGGCAGCGGGAGAGGAGGAGCCACAGGAACTGCAGCTCTGCCAGCTCGGGCCGAGCCTAGAGACGTCGGCCTGGCTGGTCCACGCCAGCCGCAGGTGGGAAGGGTCTGCCGTGGGGGTGAGGGTGTTTCGGTTAGGGGCTGAGTCTGAGCCTTGGTGCTGTCTCCTCCCTCTGTTCCACAGACAGGGGCTGAGCATGGAGCTGTCCCCTCGCAGCCCTCCCGAGATGCTGGAGTCGGATTGCCCGTCACCTCTGGAGCTGAAGTCAGCCCCCAGCAAGAAAATGTGGATTAAGCTTCGGTCGCTGTGAGTCCCCGCGCCTGGAGTGGGGGGAAGGGATCTTAGGGAGCCTGGAAAGGGGGGAGGGGGTGAAGGCTGGAGTCGGGGGGTGGATTCTCTCTGGCACACATGTTGGTAGGTGAGAGCAAATAAGCTGCTCTGACACGAGTGGCCAGGCCACATGTGCAAGGCATGTGTGGAGCGAGCGGCTGGTTAGAGCGGGTTTAGGAGTTGCAAAGCTAATGATGTGCCTATGGACCCCCGGTGACACACGCAGCGTGGAGAGGCAGCACAGAATGTGCGGTGCAGTGTGGCAGGGCTGCAGACGGGCAGCACTCAGGAGGTGCCAGGCTGACTCACACATATCCATGTGTGTGCCTGAGTGTCTGTGGGTCACAGAGATGTTAGTAGAATGATTGCACACGGCTGCAGATGTAGTGCTTGGGGATACTTGTGCCAACCTGTGGGTTATACATACCTCTGCTGGGACTGGTGGTTTTTGCCTCCTGCATCCTACATGGGATGGGGTTGGGGGAGTCCCATACCTGAGCTGCTCATCTCTCTTGGGGCCTGGAACTCCACTCTGCCTATTAATGATGGGGCACCCTCCTGGGATCTGGAGAAGTGGTGAAACCTTTAACTGGGATTTGGTGGAAGCGGGTAGAGCCCCTTCCTGGGAGCTGAGTGGTGCAGAATGATCGACAGGGGCAAGGTAACTGTCATAGCCTTTTTGTTGCTTTGGGTCTTCCAGAGATCTCCAAGCACATTTAGGCATCTTTTCTTATTGTTGCAGGGTGAGGGCATGTGGGGAGAAATAAATGAGGAAAGGAAGGATTCAGGCATCCCATACTCCAGTCCCAGGGGAGGAAAGGAACTTTTCTTCCTGCTCCTCAGAGGAGAGGATCTGGTCAAATACAAGCCATGCACCATGTTTATCTCCCAGTCAGCTGCCAGTGGGTAATCTCTGCAGTCTGTTGATTCTTAAGCAGAGAACAAGGGAAGGTGCTCCTGTTCCCGAAATGACTCCCCATGGACACAGCAAAGATGCTGTAGATGTTTAATGAGGAAGTACAGGAAACATAGCCCCTACACCCAGTTCCTCCCCAGTATCCTTAAGACTGAGCACCAAAGCTTTTTGTTTCTAAGCTCTGGCAGAGAGGGAGGGGGGGGGGGGGGAGAGAGAGAGAGAGAGAGAGAGAGAGAGAGAGAGAGAGAGAGAGATGAGGTAGATAAATGCTTGTGGTTGTGTTGTTCTAAAAAATACTTCACTTGCAGTGATAAGATGTTGCCTTTTTACTGGGTTGGTGGGTCTGATTGTTGTACTAGCTGCTTAGAGAGGCCTGAGGGAGAACTGAGGCATAGTGGTAACAAGGCTTGGAATCCAAATGTACTTCGCAATTTACCCCCTTTGCTGCCTCCAGCCAATGCAGTTTGTGGGATCTATGAAGCGCAGCCTTGGAATGAGTTCTGCGATGAAGAAATGGAAAACCGGGTTGAATCGATTTTTGTTGGGAGGAGCACTGGTTGATTCTTGGTAGAAAACTGATGCTCTGTTAATGGGAACTAAACTGGGAAGAGGGGCAGGTAAGGAAGTGATTGAAAGGCAGAGAAGGGGCCTCAGGATTTATAAATGGGAGAATATAAGGTATCCTGGGATAACTCCTCCATAGCTTTAGTAGTCTTCATATACTTTCCCTGCCTCTATTCCAGGTAACAGGTCCTGCAAAAGAGCAGGATTTACCATCTCCATACCGTTCTTTTTTAAAATTCTATTTCCTTGATTATGCTATTACAGTTGTCCCAATTTTTCCTTGTTTGCCCCCTCCACTCTCCACACTATTGTCCATGTCCATGGGTCATGTATGTGTGTTCTTTGGCTACTCTAGTCTTTCCTGGGAGCAAATTGTTATTTCTTCCTTTGATGTGAGAAATTCTAAATGGAGAGAGAAGAGGATCCCCAGAGGAGGCACTGAAACCTGGGAGCAGAGGCAGCTGCCCCTATAATATGTTAGTTGACATGTCCTTACAGGAAATGATGGTAAACAAGGGTCACTAATCATATTGATTAGATTATTCTGGTCTTCACTCACTTTAGCAATTTGTACCTTAAAAGTGCTACCTGTGTGCAGTAACCAGAGAAGTACTATCTCCTCACTATTAGTCACCAAGATAGATCCCAAATCTCACTTTCTCAAAGCAGAGAAAGATCTTTGTATCAAGGGAGATCTCAAATTGATAGCTTACTGGATTTGGCTCTGCTTGAATATTGGGAGGCTTTGTCAATCAGATGAAGGGAAATAAAAGGAGTTAGGACTCTTGCTGGGCAGAAGAGAGAAACTCAGGATCGAGTAGTGTCTGAAGGTGAACAGAAAAGGCATTCTCTTTTTTAAGTGGAAATAGAACACTCCTTCTCTCAACCCCACTCACCACCTGTTCCCAAACGGGCTTGAGTGGGAAGGGGTTGTTTAGGCTGGAAATGGGTGGGGGGTAAACATAATTATCTTAGGATTGAGTACTGAAGGCAGATGGTATTATATATAAATGGAATATATAAATACATATGTTTATATGTTTATATGTTTATATTTAAATCAAGGCAAAAGCCTTGATTCCCTTACCTGACACCTGCCACAGTCCATACTCTTCATTTTTACTCTAGGACATCTAGATTATCTTTAGGGAGGCCAGGTCTGGTGTTTTTGCCTCTGATTAAAAAACCGTATAATATAATTGTACAGGGCAATTTCCTTTTGGGAAGGGCATTCAGGAATTCTGTTTCTTACACTAGCACTCTGCCAAAGATAAATTCAGGAGCATATGAGCTGGAGAATCTCTAACTGTAGGATTTCGCCTCCACCTAGCAGGAAAATTTTCCAAACTAAACAGACTCAAGCTGAGACAGGAGAGAGACTGGGACAGGCAGTCTCGAGATGATGGGTCCACCAGGATGACTTTCATCGCCTTTCACACTAGATGAAGGATTTCACTTGCCCATTCCCAGCTCTCTGAGACCAGAGAGCTGTCAGGAGTGTGGGGGAGGGTCATTAGGAGTAGAAGGGGTTTCCCATATCTTTTGGGAATCAAGAAAAACCATGAGCAGAGATTGGTTTGCTATCCTTAACTCATTTGTTTATTCAACAACTATTAATTGTCTCCTGTGGGCCACCAGATATGCTGGTTGCTGGGGATATAGTGGTGGACAAGATGAACACAGTCCCTGCTCCTAACGAGTTTTTAATTTGGTTCAATTCCATCAAGTGGAGGAAGTGCCCTGGTCCTTATTTTATTACACCTTCCCAAGTCATAAAATTCTACCATCTACCACTCTGGTTTCTGCTTAGTCTTTTCCTTTGGAGGTTATACACAGAAACATGTATGTGTGTGTATTAATGCTTATACTGTCCTGGAAAAGAGAGGGAAAAAAGTATATCCCTCTCTTTTCCAGGACAGTACAAGCATCACTAGCATCACTCTCTTTTCTTTGCTCATGTGTCCTGGAATTTTACAGACAGAACTTTCCTCTTCCCTTTGTATAGTGAAGACAAAAAAAATCTTTTTTCCTTCTTCTTTCTTCACATGGTACACACTCAGGACTTTCAAGGTCTATGCTCAATGTCCTAAGCTGTGGTTCAAGGTCATTACAGCTGAGCTCTAGCAAGGATCAGTTGGGGGATTATTTTTGCCTATCTTTGTTTTGTCAGAGTCTAGTGTGGTAACTAAAACATAATAGGCACTCAATAAATAAAAGAATGAACAAATGAATGAATGATTATATGTGTATATGTCATGGAGCCCTGTTCTGCCTCTGATTTTGTGGTGTGTATGTTCCTGCGTGCCGGGAGGGGAATGGGAAATGGGGGTGGAAGGAAGGGAGACGTGGTTGTTGTTTTTGAGAAGGCGATGTTTACAAGGTGTGGGGTTTGAGTACCTGGAACTGAGCCCGGGACTGAAGGAGTTACAGAGAGGATACATAAACGACATTATCTGGCTGTATGAACGAGATGTATCAGAATGATTGTGAATGCCTGACATGTATACATGTGTTTGGGGAAAGGTTGATGTACATGCCAGGGACAGTGTGTGGAGTCAGAGCTCTATGACGATGTCTCTTTGTTTTTATGTTTATGACTGGCAGGCTGATAATAAATATGTGGGAAAGGTATGCTGAATTCGTGTGTGCTGAATATTCAAAATTGTCCTATCTATGAATGAGATGTATGAGTGTATGCGAGTGTGTGCGTAGGTAATGGGATAATATGTATGTGTTTGTGACACTCACATTTTTTAAACAGTTTTGGGGAGATCAAATGGGTTGGAGGAGGAAGCTGAGGGACTGGGCTGGGTGTCTCACTGATTTATCCCGCCATTTGTCTTTATTTTGTGTATTCCCATGAGTGATCTTCTGTGGCTATTACCAGTTTTGGAAACTGTGCCGCCATCCTTTCTTTGCAAATGGCTGTGAAGCTGCTGTGAAGATTGCAGAGCTCCCTGGACCTCAGGAGAAAAAGGAGCATCATTTCTCCCAGGCCTTGGCAGGGATAATTCTTAGTGCCTTCATTCCCTGATCAGCCCTTCCTTCTTTATTTCTCATCATAGCACAGAGTCTCTCTCCTCCTTGGGTTTATATGCCCCTGTCCTATCAGATGGCTTCTATCTCTCTATTTCCCCCATCAGCTTTGTCTTGAATGAGGCATCCTGGATGGTAGAGTGTGGAAAATTTCTGCAGTAAGCTGAGAGGAGGTTCAGTAATAGGGAAAATCAAACTGAGAGCAAAAAAAGAACTCCACAAACTTCTGGTCAGAATAGGTGGCTGGAGGGAAGCAGGGAGGCATGGTGGTGGTCATAGAAGATCATTTTGAATATTGAGAGACTAGAGTCAGAATTCATATTCCCATGAATTCTGAAGTCACACATGATCTTGAAGTCACACAGCCTCTCTGAATCTCAGTTCTTTATTTGCTATCATCCATATGAAAGTGGCTTTTAAATGTTACAATCTGAGTTCTTTGAGCATAGGAGGGCGTGCT